GAAAGAGGTGAGAGAGGCTATGGGGGGGGCTGGAGAAGCCTGGGGCTTCAGCTCTGAATGCAGTGGGGAGTCATCCATCAGCATGATTTGAGCACAGGATTGGCAGGTTGTGGTCACTGGCCTGGTAGATGTGGTGTTTGCTTGCATCTCCATCAGGCAGTTCTGGATGGGTCATTAAGAACAACAGCAGTGTTTCCAGTTGATTTGCCCCCCTCAAACCCCCCGAAAGCTGATTTCTCAATTCTCTGAGTCTTGGGTTCGTTCAACTCAACTAACAACCTTGAAGTATTTTCTGGATTTAGCCTCCAGAGACAAAAGCATTATAGCAGAAAGGCAATGATCCTGGGATAACCCTAGTTCCCACTGCTAACTTGGAACAATCAGGCAACTCAGCCTTCTGGGCCTCAGTTTCTCCATCTGCAAAATGGGAGTAACCTTTGTGGCTTTATGTAATAAATGGATAAAGCTTAGACCAGAGTACTATTTAAAAGATTGTGTTTCATGCGCTTGGAGATTTGTAGGACTGCAATAGGTAGACAGTGGTAGGAGGAACTGATGTTCAGTGAGGCTATCTAGTTAAAGTGGACTTTTAGCCCGTAAGGGTCAAACACACAGAGACTTTGCTGAAAGGACTCAGAATCGCTTTCATCTCCTGGTGCCTCTTCCATTATTTTACCGACTGCAGGTCCAGCCGGGAATCCCTGACTCAGTCACCTAGAAGCCAGTTGTTTTCCTCCCATTTCCTTCCTGCATCATTTAAATGGTTGTAATAATTAACTAATAATATTCTTGATTGTAGGTGATGAACTAGCATAATATGCAGGTGCAAGTGGCATGTTTAGTTTTTAATGTTTCTTGTTATCTTTTGAGATTTGTTATATCTCAAGAAACCATTTCCAAATATGGAAACTAACCTGTGGACCACAATGTAGTTCCCAACCTTGCCAGAGGTACTTCTCCCAATTCCTTCTCCCAGGGACCAGCCAGCAGAATATTAGAATAATACCTCTACTCATAGAGGAACCTACCTGGTTCTGTTATGAAGTGGAGAACAGAACCTGTACCATTAGTTCCATTTCTGAAACAGAATGCTTTTATTGATGGGGTTTTCCACCTTCTCACTGAACAGCTAAGGCAGTTCTTAACATGATTTTCCCTTACATGAAAGTTAGGGACCTATTTCCAGATACCTTCACTATACATACATACATACATACATACATACATACATACATACATACATATATATAAAATCTGGAAAGTTCATTTTGGCATCCCTGGAAACATAGAAATACAATATAAACTACTCATTCATCAAACAGAATGGAAGAACACCTTGAAAAATCATGTTATCCAGTCTCTTCACTAGACCAAAATGTTGAGTCACAACTAGCTAGTGGCACAAGTCAAGGATGGATACACCTGGTTTAATAACGGCCCATGTGGAAAAATCTAGGAGTTGTTTTTGCTCACAAGCTCAATGTGAGATAGTGGTGAAAGAAAACTACCCCAATGTTATTATCCTAGAACATGTTCCTAGAGTCTTCCAGAACCTAGAAGGTCACCTCTGATCCACTGTGCCTTGCATTGGCCAACAAGGTCTAGAATAACATTTCAATTCTGGGCTCCATTTTTTAATAGGGGAACTGGCCGCCTGGATCACACTCAGGAGAAGAGTGATTAGGATGGTGAATAAACCACCAATAGTGAAAAATGTTTATCTTGGGGAAGATGAAAGATATTGAGAATTTGAAGAACTGTCAGCAACATAATTACATGACATTATTTCAGAAGACAGAATAAGGACAAATGGGCAGGAGTTCAGGATGTCATATTTCTTTTTTTTTTTTTTCCTTTTTGTCTTTTTTCGTGACCGGCAATGGATCGCACCCCTCAGTGTCGCGCCCGTACCGGACCGGGACCGGCAACGGGATCGCAACCCTTGGTGTTGCTCCCGCACCTCGCTCAGCCAGTGAGCGGGAACCGGTCTGTATGTGGGATCCGAACCCTCAGCGGGAGCGCCGCCGCACTCTCAAGCGGTGCACTGTAGCAGTGCGCCACCGGGCC